ATTAGTTAGTTCTCGGTCGGCAGGTCTACAATACGATGAGAGACAATAATCCAAAGCTGAAGTCGAAGTGGGGACGAGGAGCCAGATTTTGAAGAAGTCAACATTAGTATCGACCTCAAACGCAGACAGCACGCGGCATACGGTTACGGAAGGAGGAGGAGGTTATTTCAGTGGACTCAAAGACAGTAGGAATGGGGAAGTTCGTTGTAATGGGCCTGATCTCGGTAACGAAAGATAGGTTCGTGCTCATTATAGAAGCAAAAAAGTCCTTTGGGGAGACAATGGTCAGCTAAGATAGCTAGGATGGAAAAGACTTTTTGCAGGGCACATGAGATTGAGGTGCTATTTGTTGGATGAAGGAGAATTCGGTCTTGGTGGATTGCGTCAATGTAGAACTGAGTAATTAAAGTATTGTGCAAAATGATGCGGTCGCTTGAGCGTTTAGGGTATTCCAACGCTTTTTTCCTAGCGCAAATCTCAACACCCAGAGCGGCTGGAACACCGTAAATAGCATAAATTGATAGGACTGGAGCTCTCATGGTGTCACTTTCATTCGTGCTAAAATTGTGAATGAGCGGAAAGTTTTGTCTACGTAAAAATCAACCTTTGGTTACCCCTATTGGTAGATATGGAGGATCTTTGAGTTTTTACAGTAGCAGGTAATTGACAATGGTTAGTGGATACGCTAAGCCTATGGTCAATTAATTTGGCATTGCAGTTTTCGTGCGATTAGATTCACGAGACTAATTAGAATTTACTGATGATATGGAACCACAGTCTCGGCACCACTATTTGGCAAATAGCGATGCTGAGACTAATATGGAACTGGAGCATTACAGTCCACCTTTTCGAAAAGTGCTGGACAACCCTGTGAGAAACGAACTGAGCTCTGAATTCTATACATCCCCATGGCCCCTTGTAACCTTCAAGTTGTAGGTCAGTTTTGAAAGCAGACAACTCCCACTCCTCCTATCGGTACCCCCCGCCCCACCTCTTCCCACAATTATTCTTTTTTGCACTGGGCCCCTATTCCTAGGGGCATTGCCAAATCAGGACGCTCAACTGGCACACCCCACTGCGACTGCGAGTTCGAGGTCAAAATGATATCGGGGTTGCAAGTGCTCTGACGTCCTACGTATCGCGCTTCTCTCCTGCCCTTACCAAGGTCAAGCTCATATCATAGTAATCTACCCTTGTAACTTCCAGTCTTGTCTATGTGACGCGCCAAGATGCGTCGTCCCAGTTGTCCCATCAAGCTGAAACAGCAAAAAGGGACCTGTATCCACCGTCCGCTGAACAGGGACTAGACCAGAGCTTTTCTCACTTAAAGAGGGGCGTTAGAGTGTGTCGCTGTGTCAGCTGTCGCATGTTCTATGATAGCTACTAGCACCCTCCCTCCACCTTTTCGAATGGCCGGTATCATATGGCTTTGTTCTGTATGCACTTAGCCTATCGTGCATGGCCCACTTTTTGTCTTTGCAGTTCTCCAAAAGTGCCAATCCGAGCTGTTTGTGATGTGGGACCAAACATTCAACGGCCCCATAGCCCTGTATGATTGCCGTTCACGTTCCTTGCTTTGCAGCGCAGCCGACCAGGGGCACGTGAAGCGCAAGTACTACACCGAAATTACCGGGTGATTTATTTGATGAGGGAGGCTTGCCTCGCTCGTCCCTCGCGCACCTCCACACACACTCTTTCAAGCTTGAGCTTAACAGGTTTGCACGGCCGGACCTAGAAAATTCTAACCTTCTCCCTTGCTCGTCCCCCTCCCACCCCCATTCCAACCACATCCCCTCGTTCATTCAAGCAAAGCCGACTTATTTTCTTTCGAATATATTGCATAGACTGCAATATCTACCTCACAGAACTCTTTTCAGTTCTAGACATTCGTTTTATCTTGATCCGATATTCTCACGCTATCAGGGTTGTTAATCCCAATCCCACCATACATTTCAATACGTCACCCACATGCTATTACCCCTGAAGGGCCGCAACTAGAAAGCCAAGTTCCCATATCGCAAGAAATAGACCTATTTTGCCTGGATCTCTCTGGAAGCTCGAATAGTACAGCACATACCACGTATTTAGATGAACGGAAATAGTGGTTGGCATTCACCCCCGCAAGCTGGGACGTTGTCGAACAAATCGTCGTCCCTTCCTTCGAGCTTCCAACTGGATGAGGGAGGAATTTTGAATGACCTTGGGAATTTTGAAGAAATTGGATTGGATGACGACAATACTGAACGGCCTAAGCAGCGAGGACTTACAGCAAATGCTATCCCAAAAAATGGTACAGGATTAGCTTCCTTGAGAGACTTGACGGTGAAGCGGCCGCTACAGAATACCCTATCTACAGACCATCTTGGGTTACCGGGTGGTTCCCGACGAAGCAATGGACCTTTACCTCCAAATGGTCGTAGGTCTCGTAACAGCTCTCCTAGTCCACAATCTTGTCCACAGTCACCTGCATTTTCGCCGGCCTCATCGCCATCGTCCACCTCAAGCTCACGTCGTTCATACACTGCCCCAATTCCCGAAAGAATAAGGCGCAGCTCACTTTCAAGAAGGAAGACCACAGCTGAGCTGGAGAAGGAATGTGAATCGGATGGGGATGATGAGATACCGGCTGATGCTATCTTCTGGAACGTGCCAGTGTCGCCTAGGCGACTGAGCCAAAATATCTCTGCTTCAACATCACCGGACCGAGAATATGCAAATGGTGCTACAACTTCGAGAGCATCGGGGTCTCCCCCACGAAATGGCCTTGGTATCGATGGAGCAGGAGATGAGCGGCGCGGACAGTTAGGGAAAACTAAAAGTTTCAATGAGGCGATAGTTGAGGAGCTAAGCCCTGAAGTCCGAGAGCTTACCGAGAAATTGGAAGAATATGCAGAGGAGGCAATGCTGCGGGAGGAAAAAAGGCGTCAGCAGCAGGGTAGCAATGCGAAGACCAGGGCTGCACAGCGTTCACCAGCACCAACTAAGAAGATTGCCCTGCCTCCAATACAGACGTCAAATGGAATGATTGATCCGCTTCCAATAAGTAAGGAGAAGGAAGCAGTGCTTTCAAGAACAAGGCCATCATGGTTACCCCCAAAGTCGAAAGGGGAGGAAAGGCGGCATCTTCGGGAATATCAAAAGATGATGCAAAAAGCCCTGCAGGCCGGTATGTGAAATTAATTTAAATCCACTTAACATAAAGACTCTGACGTCCACTAGAACAAAAGAGAGCCGAAAAGGAAAGACGGGAACAGGAGCAAAGAGAGAAGTTGAAGGCTGATATCCACCGAGTCTGGGAGCAGAACGTAATCCCAGAATGGGATGCGGCGATTCAGAAGCCGGAGACCCGAGAGCTGTGGTGGAGAGGAATTTCTTCGAGGCTGAGGGCTGAAGTGTGGGAGAAGGCATTGGGTAATCATCTTAGGGTCTCAGAGGAGACATACCGACTAGCACTTGCACGTGCCAAAGAGCTTGCAAAAGGGAAGGGCACAATACAGTCGACGAAGGAACAGGAAATGTTTGCAGCTATTCGAAGGGATGTTAAGGATACGTTCCCAGAGTTGAAAATCTTTCAAGTGAGTGTATCAAAAGCTAAGAAGCCCACCTAGGTTCTTTCACTAACTGTAAAACAGGAACGTGGTCCTCTACATGAAAGCCTAACTGATGTGCTATATGCCTATAGTATGTATCGTAGTGATGTAGGATATGTCTATGGCACACATGTACACTACCCATATTCTATGTATTACATGTATTATACTAACTCTGATCTAGGTGATAGCTGGAATTTTGGTTCTCAATCAATCGCCCGTCAAGGCCTTTATAAGTTTGGTAAACATTCTTAATAGGCCTGTACCACTAGCCTTTTATACTCATGACGAGGCTGCAGTAAGTTTCCCTCATCTTCTCAACCAGTAACCTTTCCTGAACGCAACCATCTAACATCCATCCAGATATCCAAAGTCTATACTCTCTTCCTCCGCGCCTTTCAATACAAGCTTCCGACTCTCTTTCAACACATCCACGTGACTCTATCCCTTCCTCCTCCTGCGTACCTCGAACCCATGTTCCTGACGCTCTTCGCCCTTCACTGTCCGCTAGATGTCACATCCCGTCTATGGGACGTGTATGTCTTTGAGGGCGACGCGTTCTTGGTCCGGACTGCGATCGGAGTCCTGACAGCGCTGGAAACGAAGCTGTATGGATCGAAGGAAGAGGTCATCGAGGTGCTAGGGTGGAAAGCAGAGCCGTGGAAGTTGGGTAAGGAGGATGACTTCATGGCGACGGTGAGGTCGGCAGGGAAGGAGGAGAAAGAGGTTGAGAGTGACGAGCCGTAAGCAGGGCGTGTGTGCTTGGTTAAAGCCTAGATGGCTTGATCTGTGCATATTGATACTGTATTCATTTGGATAGGATACCAGAAGAGGAGGCCAACAAGTTAGTTCACGAAGTCAGAGGCGTCACGTGATCTTGCAACATTTCAAGACTATTTCTGCTCTATCTTTTTTTTTTTTTAAATTTTCCTTCCTGCTTGTCTTCACCCTCCACCATTCGTTCGGTTTTCCTTTTCTAACCTATGCGTACCTCCTTTATTCACATCTCAATCTCTAGCTCGGCTCACCTTCCGTGCCCTTCCCATTTTCTTACGTTTTTATAATCTATAGACATTTTACTTTTTTATTTCTTTCTCTTTGTCTCTCTTTCTTCAAAGGGGAATTGCACGGAAATATATTCACTGGATCGGGTGGGACATGCAGGAGCATGCGCCACAGGTTTTGGGCTGAATAAGATTTGAGCTTGGTGGAATACGGAGAGATTTCCAACAAGAATTTCAATGATCAAAATGGGCATTAACGACCCGCGAATTTGTTGTGATTTGCAGCAAACGAGATAACGCTATCTTCACCGGTGTCAACGAAAAAACAAAGAATGAAGGGATCAAGCAAAAAACACACCACAAAAGAGCAAAACTGAAGGTAGGACAGAAGGAAAAAAAGCATTCAGGCTCCATCCGTGGTTCGAACACGGGACCTCTCGCATCTTAGGAGATGGAACTTAGGGTGAGCCCTAAGCGAGAATCATACCACTAGACCAACGGAGCAGAGTTAGCTATATCTAAATAGTTGATCTCTAATATGAAACTTGTCCTTATTCATATTCTGTTAAGGCAGTTTACTCCAACTAGTTAGATCAAGTGACTCCAGCATAAGACGCATTATTTCTGTTTTGCAATCTTCATGTTTTCTCCTATTAATACTTGCGCTTGTGTATGAATTGTCGTCTAAAAAGGTTAAAAAAATGGTACCAGCAAATTATATTATACATTCTATTTCGTCTTTGTAGCCCCAGCCTACTCCTCCATCAACGATTCTTACCGGGGTGATAAGGCATTCAAACCAAATAAAAGGAAAAAGAAAAAAGAAGACTGCTTCCAAAATTACAGCCATTATGAGAAAACAACAATATTATATTGACATCTCCAAAGTGTCCAACCCCTCCAAAAGCACTTCCGGATCATACGATTCGAACATGACTTTGGAGATCAGTTTGGCCCTGGAAGAGAGGTGTTGTTAGTGATTGAGTATGGAAGGTTGAGGGGGGAGAGCGGGGGGATATGGGAAGAATTAAGGGAGATAGAAAGCAAGACTCACAATCGTGTGGATTCTCGGCCTCGGAGTTCTTCTTCCAGCTGTTTGGACTTGATGGCGGCAGCTATTTTACCAAAAGTTAGTACCTTTTCCGTCAGGATTCCCCCATGGGGCCAGTGGTGGTTTCTCCGATGTATGCAAGAGGCATAGGAAACGTACTCTCCAAACACTGCTTCGGCACGCCTGCCAGCCTCGCCACATTCAACCCATACGACCTATGTGCAACGCCCTCACCAATCTGGTATAAAAATGTAATATTCTCCGACCCGTCCTGTGCCTCTTCAAACTTCATATGTGCATTGATCACGTGCTCTGGATACTTCTCCCCAAACTGCGCGAGCAGAGGGTAATGTGTGACAAATAGCACCATCGACTTTAATGTCGTGATGACGTGATCCAACACAGCGTGCGCAATGGCAACACCATCGTGTGTAGACGTGCCTCGGCCAAGCTCGTCGAGGATGACGAGGGAACGAGGCGTGGCTTGCTTCAGGATGTCGCTGGTCTCAGAAAGCTCGACCATGAAGGTGGACTATAGATAACCTAGTCAGGTATGCAGTAGTGGAGCAGGAATCCTGGTATTGAACATACCTCACCAGCCATCATATTGTCATGGGCGCCCATTCTTGTAAAGACAGCATCTAATAACCCCAATTTCGCATACTTCGCAGGAACATAGCTCCCAATCTGGCCCATGATGGCAATAAGAGCAACTTGACGCACATACGAGCTTTTGCCACCTGGAGGAACTCTTCAGCATATGCGCTACGTTTGAAAGAGGGTAATTCATATACCCATATTAGGCCCAGTGACCAGCAGCGCCCTGTGTCCTTTCGAACTCAAGTCGATATCGTTGGGGACATATGTATCAATCAACATCCGTTCCACCATAGGATGTCGCCCCTCTTCCACCTTAATGCAGATCTCATCCGTGTACTCCGGCTTCACGTAATTTGGCTGATTCGCTACTGCAGCCAATGACAACAGGCAATCAAGAGTAGCTAGACTCTGGACCGCATCCCTTAGCTCCTGGTATTTTGTAGCTATCTCGGCGAGGAATCCCTGAAACGCCTTGTCACATTCAGCCGCAAGAGACTCCTTCAACTGATCCCTTTCTGTCATCAGTTTTACGACTGCTGGGGTGTGAAACCGGGAAACCTTTTTAGTCCCGCTGATTTTTATCCAGCTTGCTGGGACATTCTTGAGACTGTCCTTGGTATTGTCTACCTCGATAAGGTACTGGTGAATTATCAGTCAGTTCGGCTAAACAATGGAGCTTTGTCTGTCAGGTAAGTCTACCTCAACCTGCGAGACTGTCACAAATGTGACTTTCTTCTTCTTGAGCTGCTTTGCGATATCCACTAACTGGTCCTGCAGGTCCTGTTCCACAGCCACTATTCCCATCTTCTTCTCCGCAATGGCTTCGTAATTCTCTTCCTCATTCTTGAAGAAGGCGTACTTATCGTCCTTCGCAGCAGCTTGGTGATTGAATACATCGAGGTATGCCGCTATATCCTTGGCAATTGCTGGTAATGCACCAATTGCTTCATTGATGATCTGAGATTTGAAACCAACCTCATCAGGCGAATCAACCTTTGGAAATGTAGTGGCAATTCTATTCATTGTCTGAAGAACAGAATGCAATTCAGGGCGAGTACACTAGAAATAATCAATATATCAAACCTTTATGTAAGTGGACTGTACAATTCAGGTACCTTCCCATAGTAGATTCTAATCAATCCTTTCTCCAGATCGTATGATGTTTTCGATAGCAACTCTTTTAGCCTTGACAAGTTCAAGTTCTGCCCTGCCTTCATCTCTTCAACTGCCGCGATCCTCTCCTCAAGCTGTCTCTTATCAACTAATGGCCTTCCGACCCATTTTCTTAGCAATCGTTTTCCAAACTTAGTTTTTGTCCGATCCAGCGCCCAAAATAAGCTACCCTTTTCAGTGTAGTCAGTTTGATTATGGTAAACCTCGAGGCTCGATAATGTATTGCCATTTAAGAGCATGTGAGTTCGAGCACTGAAGCTTTGGAAGTACTTGGTCAAATCAAAGACATGCTCCAATCCATAGCTCTCTAGATGTTTTATCATAGCAGAGAGGCAAATTGTTACTGGGTCTGGGAAATTCAACACAGTATCGAGTAAGTCATTCACCCCTGTTTTGTTTGCCTTGTCAGCATAGAATTTGGAGACGTGGCTACTGGCAGTTGCGGCCATGTTTTTGGGTCTATCCAGCCTCTCCACGCGGATTTTATCACCGAGAATCGACGTCCTGTAACAAGTAAGTATCATTGCTGGTTACCACAGACTCAAGAACGCGGACTTACGTTGAGCCAGCAAGATGTGTAACAAGTTTATCTGTAGCCTTGGAGAGTTCACCAACAATGAGAAGCTCACATGGTGCTATGTGAAGCAGTCTGGTTTCAATCTCGCTTCTCATAAACCCATCATCGAATTCGTCATATACAACATCTCCAGTCGAGGGCTGCACGGCGATTATTCCCACATGAACTTTTTCATCAGTGCCCACCCCACCTCCAGGTTTCTCCGTGAAACAGAGAAGGTATCCTGTAGCAGGCGCACTTGTACCGATTCCAGAGATATCGTCAAAACCGTCAACATCGTCAATGTACGTTCCTTTAGTATACAGGTTGGTAAGTTTTCGCACAAATGGTGTGTGACGATTATCACCAGCAGCTTTAAGAGCTGCAGTTTCGAGCTGACGAACAATTCCCACTTTATATCCGGCCGCAACGAGTCTGGAAGCAGTTATTCAGATATTCAGATTTTGCCAGACGAAGATAAATTTAGAATCTTACCGCTTGACATGGACATGCAATCGATGCACCGGAATGCTCGCAGATGCAAATTTGTCTAAATGGGCCTCGGAGGGGTCTGAGTGTCATATGAGTTGCCATTCACAGAATATTGTAGCAAAAACTTACGTTCATCAAATCTCATTTTTCCAGGAATGCACATAATGGAGAGCTCTTTTGATGCTATCCTAGCGTCCTCTCCAAAAAATCTAAACTTATACCCCACCTCTACTACTAGTATTGTATCGGGATACTTCATCTTGATATCCAGAACTTGTTTCTCCAGCGGCGTCAATTTACCTTTCCTTTTCTTGCTTGCAGTTGCCTTTGCAGTTCCTTTCCTGCTCCCTTTAGGTTTCGGAGTATCTTCTTCATCTTCCTCATCTACCTCATGGTCATCTCCGTCTCCATCCTCAGCTGCTTCGCCATCCTCTCCAGTATCTCCGCGGATAATATCATCAATTGAACTTGGACGGCCTAATTTTTGCAGAAACTTTTCATGCAAATTGGTCTTTTGTCGTTTGTACTGTGCATCTTCAACTGGCTTTGACGGAGACTGTAAAGGATTGTATATGAACCGATTCGTCTTTTGTTTTGTTGATTGCTTATCTGCTGTTCCAGAGACCGAAAGGCTCTTTAACTTCGATGTTGCTGTCGATATCTTTGGAATTGCATCCTCCATTTCGATGTCTTGCGATTCGCCACCCATTCCCGCTTCATCCTTTTCATCTTCTGATTGCGGAGAACTTGGACCTCTTCTCAACTTCTTCCGCCCTTTTCCCAATTGTGAAGAATTCTTTTCGGTACTCTCTTCACTCCCATCTTCATCTTCTGACTCCAAATCACGTTTCCTGGATATCGAAGCAAATCGGCTATTTGTGGATCTCTTTGTTCTTGGCCTTGGGATATCGTCCTCATTTGCCTCATCATCCACAGCAACATTTGATTTGGGGGTTAACTGAGAGTTCACAGGATGGCTTATAGCACCAGAGTCAATTTTGAGTTTAGTAGATGACTGATTCGTGGCCGTTGGTATTGACTGTCTGGGTGCAAAAAAGCTGGAAATTGTTCTTTGCTGCTTCCCCTGGGAAGTGACGGATGCCTTCGATGGAGCCATAATATCGCGAATACTAGTATGTTGCTGGGTATTATTATTCACCGTATCTGAATTATTTGCGTCTGGCGTGTAACACGCGTTTAGTGTCGCTGCCACACAGTCTTGGCACACGCATGTGTATCAAGGTACTAGTACTCAGTACGGAGAGAGTACAGTACATAAGTAAAAAGTCTTAGGGAACTATGCAGTATAAGGAAAGGCGTTTTACCAAGCTTTGGAGTCACGAGACATGCATCCGAGAGGTCCCTTCTTGAGAAAACACAACTCAACTAAAAGTACTCCTTTTTTAATTCTGAAAAAGGATTTAGATTCCCTGATGCCCATTCATACGGTCTATTGATTTTTGCAATTTTCTAACTACTTTATTGAATTTCTTAGTGATTTTTCGAACAGCACTGAAAAAAGAGGTGCAAGGAACACTATAACAAGGTTAGTATCAGGACTTTCTGATTGGACAATAATCAAGCATCAGACAACAAATGTTAATATTGAGAGTACCAGACTGTGAGGACAGA